AAACAGTTTTTCCTGATTTTCTTCATTACACTCATAATGCACCAGCCTTTCGCAGATGCATTTTGGCGAAAGCTCTCGCTTCAGCGCATCTAACGATTTACTTTTTATACCGGGTATTTGCAAACTGGAGAAAGATCAAGCAAAAGAAAGCAAAATAATTGCATACTTTCGAAGCCATATTACTTAACACGGAGCAGCTTATTTTTTATATTTTTTGTGTTTTCTGATTCATAAAAACTTAAGCTACAGGTTTGTCAAGAAGCATTGTGTGTTAAAACTAAGGTGTCAGGTGAAATTTTCAAAAGTGTAAATTCGTCGATTTGTGTAATTTATGAAAATCATATGATAAAATTTTGGATGTGACAAATAGAGATGCGAACCGTTTGCCGATCCTGACAGTTTTCGGCCCAAATTAACCGTAATGCGGGCCAAAAACTGTTAGGATCGACAAACGGTTCGCATCTCTAGTGACAAATCGTGTGACTGATAAGATTTTTTTTATGTAAGTGCCGTTGGAGCCCTTGCAACTTTTTGAGGTAAGAATTTAAAACTCATATTTGAAATCATTTCAGATAATCTAATACCGCAATTTACCGTATACAAAACCCGGGTCTGTTACATTCCACCAATTTTTAAACCATATAGTAGACCCCGGGTCTAGTGCACGCTAAGAGGTTATATAATGAAAAGATAAAATTCAAGTGTATACACACTTTGTATTTTTAATAGGCAGCCTAGCTATTTGAAAAAAAACCACATTTGATTAATATAGATTTTGTGATTTGCATCCGTGTCTAATTCATGGTGGATCTACTTTCTATACGGTAAATTACGGTACTTGCGAGGAGGTTAGGTTCACATTTCGTCATTTTTTTAAAAATAGGTTCGTCTAAAAACTCTAGCCGCACAATGTATAATTAAGAACTAAACTTTAATCTCAAAATTGGTTAGAAAATGCCGAACGGTGGTTTCCTAGCCATTACACATATATAATTATGCATAAATTTATGATCAAATTATTGATTTTCTCTAAAATATTTAATATTGCTATAAAATCGCAGCTGGGGTGATGCTTGACATAAATATAAATCTATTAATTATTAAACCGATTATCATAGAGTCTATTCTCATTCCTATTTTGATAAATTAAAATAATTTGCTTAGTTTTTGTATTGCTTGGAATACTGATAGCATCCAATTGTTATCAAATTACCTTACTCCCTGTGAATATTACAGACAATACCTTAAAGTATTATCCAGTAAATTATGTTGGACATTATCTTCGAAATAAAGATGTGTAGTTGTTGAAATTAAAAATGTTCACAACATGTTACAGTAAATTTCTTGAAATAGAGAATTAGAACTAGATTTATATAACTATCAACTTCGTGTAGCTTCTATATACTGAAAGACTTCACATTCTTTTACTTTAAAACTGCCATTTATAGTTCGAATTGGCTTTTCATAATCACACACGTAACACATCCAGATTTTCCCTTCCCTATCTCTTGGTGACATGCTAAGATCCAAAGAGCCAAAGCCCGGACCATCTTCTCTATGATAATAAAGCGCTTTGTCAAAATTCCTAACCTTACTAAACACGGAATGGCCAGTTTTTAACGAAAATATAAAGCTTTCTTTCGATTTCAAATATTGAGCATTTGTCAGAAAGTTGGGTCTTTTCCACACAAGAGGATTGTATCCACCAATAATTTCATCTGTTCCCTCAACTTTTAAAATAACAATAGTTTTTGCTATATTTCCGCATTTACTAAAAAAGGCGCCTTTGTCGAATCCATCCCTAGAACTTTTGAGAATTAATTTAAACTTTTCTGAAATTTCATCATGACACTGTGATTGATTTATGTGAGAAACAATTTCTAATGCGTGCTTGATAGTAATCAATGTTGATTGTGCCAAAAAGCTAATAGGTTGAGGTTCTGGAGGAGGATCATGTTGCTGTTCATAAGGAGGCTCTAGAGGAGAATCATGTTGTTCATAAGGAGGTACTGGAGGAAAATCACGTTGCTGTTCATAAGGAGGTTCTATAGGAGAATCATGTTGCCGTCCATAAAGAGTTTCTGGAGGAGGATCGTGCTGTTCATAAGAAGGTTCAATGTTTTTTAGACATTCTAGAACTAATTTTGTTTCTGGACGTTTTGCAGGATCATCATTCCAGCAATTTTCGAAAGATCAATATACGGCTTTGGCGTGTTTTCTATAGGTGTTTCCCTTGTTCCACCGTATATTAGTATAGCTACCCTTTCTCTAAATTCAATATCTTTGAACGGCGGTCGGCCACTTGAAATTTCCCAGAGAACAACACCTAAACTATAGACATCTGACTTTTTATTACGTTTATATCCGGATCCTCTGAAGCATTGTGGATCAATATAAGCGGACAATCCATTAACGTTAGAAGTTGAAACAGATGAGTTCTCACTCAATTGTTTAGATAGACCAAAATCTGCGATCATCGCTGTTCCATTATGAATCAAAATATTTTTAGAATGCTATAAAAATATACAAATTAGGTAAATATGATTGAATCATTATCGTGATATATATATGTTTACTTACAAGGTCTAGATGAACAACATTTTCATCATGTAAATGTAAGAGACCAGTTGTTATTTCTTTGGCAATTCTTAATTTATCGGTCCATTGCAATGTTGAGAAATTATTTTCCAAATATTCTCGTAAGTTACCATCAACAGCAAGTTGTAAAATCAAATTATAATGTCCATCTAAATCTATTTATTGCATTATTAGATTTAATCAATTATTTACTGCATTTGTATAAGGAAACGCTTACCTTTAGTTATTCCGTAAAACTTGATGATATTCTTGTGTGAAATTCGTTGTAAAATTTTAAGCTGAACATATTAATAACATATAAATTTAATTTTGATCGTAAATAGTTGTACTTAAATAAGTTAAATACTACGTGTACGGTACCTCTTTAATAAGGCTGCCTTCCATTTCTGTATTATCTTTTATGCTTTTAAGTGCAACTAAATCTCCGTTCCAATTAGACATACGCACGATTCCGCATCCTCCTACACCAATTGGTTCTCTAAGAACCACAAATTCATTATAATCAAGGATGGAAATATTGCATCTAATAATTTCATTTTCAAGCCGTTCTGTCATTTCTTTTAAACTTATTTTATTTTAATTTTATTTTAATTTTTTAATTTGTTTTTTTTTTAATTTTTTAGTTTTAATTTATTTTAATTTATTTGATTTTTTTTAATTTTTTTTTAATTTTTTTTAATTTTAATTTTAATTTATTTTTAATTTATTTTTATTTTTATTTTTTTAATAATAACTAAGCCAAGTTGTTGTGAAGAAAGTTATTGGAAGAATCAGATCGATTTCTGGTATTACGGATAATACGGTAAATGCCTTATTTGAGCATTTGGCGGATTTTAAAGATCTATCTTCGAATAATGGTTGGAATTCTTGGGTTGATTTTTTTCTCCCGTTTATGGATTTTTTAAATCAAAGTGACATTTAACTTTAATTTTGGTTATTTACTATCGATATATATATTAGTGTTTTCGTGTATCCTCGTGAACAGAAATTTTGCCCGAAAGGGTAAAAATTATACCGATACAGTACCTATAGGATAGCTTTCTCGTGATTTTTGATCACATGAAATTTATCACATATCTAAATAGGGTGTAGAGTAGGAATGTTGTAAATACATATATGAGTGCTGCCAAGCGAAAACCAGCTCCGCTTTCTGATTCGATTCCTGATAAATTTAAATTAAGCACAACATAAATTATATGACATTTTTCGGGGTTTGATCTGTAAAATTAATTTCGGAAAACTCACAATTCTCTGTTTTCGCTTGTCGGCACTCATATACTGTATAATCGGTTGATTAATAAAATAGGAGGAAGTAGTAGAAAAGTTCGTAGAACAGAGAATACGATTAATAGAATAATACACATAATCTGACCACTTTAATGATTGTACTTTCTTTAATGTCCAACTATCATTAAACTCATCCCGTACATCCCAAGTTGAGCCAGAAGCTAACACAATTACTGCTCTCCCACTTTAGAGCATATTCTCACGGATAATGGACTAATAAAATTTTGGACCGTCTACGCAATAATCAATGTACATAGGCTATCGATGTAGAATTTTTAATTTTTGTAACATTTTCTTGACATATATCTAGCGAAATTTGATGAAAATTTCCTCTAATTAACTCTACGAACTAATAGAACTCAATTTAAAAAAAATTTCCATCGAATTTGTCGAGAATTTTTGTTGAAAATTTGAGAAAATTTTTCATTGTCTTAAGAAAATAACTGATAAAATTCGATGAAAATTTTTTAATTACTAATTCGTAGAATCCATTTAAAAAATTTTTCATCAGTTCTATAAAGTAATTGAACGTCAAGTTTAGGAAAATTTTGCTACTGCTGTTCTCTTAAACAGAAATTTTTTTTTTTTTGCTTTTTCTTTATTAAAAAAATTTTTTTAACATCATTTTTTAAAAGATTTTTTTAACTTATTTTTTTTTTAAATAAAATCTACGAATTAGCAGAAATCATTATAAGTTAAAAAAGATTAAAATTTTGAATCAGTTAGTACTGCAATTTATTGGCCAATTTTCGTCGATAATTCACGTGACCGTACGTAGCCCGTACCGAGATTTTTAAAAATTACTGTCTTCTAAGAAAATAACTACGGCGGTAGAAAATTTTTTAAATTTTAAACGGAAATCTCTTGGAAAATATCTAATTGAATTCGATAGAAATTTTTTTAAGCGAAGTTTTCCCAATAGCCTCCTAATTATTTTCGATGAAATTTTTTATTTTAATTCTATAATCTTGTAGATTCAAAAAAAAAAGAGAATTTGGTCTTGTAGTTATCAAGAAATTTTAGCTTATCTTAGGAAAAAATTGGGTAAATTTTCTTTTTTTAAACTTGAAAATTTCTTACAACCACATAACTAAATTGTAGAAATCTTTTTTTTTTATTTTAATCAGCAAGTTTATAGAATTAAAATTATACCAAAAATTTTTTTTATAAAATTCATCATAGTGTATCTCAAAAAAAGTTTAATAAAGCCATCTCTCTTACATTTTGTTACATGCTCTTAATCGTACTGGTAGTTGAATTTTATACAATGCTTTAACAAAGTTTATTGAAAAATATTTTTTAAAATAATACATATAAGTTAAATTTTTATAAAGTTAATAACTTTTAAAAGATAGAATTCTTTTATGTAAAATAAATCTAATAATAATATAAAAATCAATATTGTATATCTAATAGGCCAACTAACCATTTATAAAAAGCTTTTAAATAAACATTTGTTAAATCATGTGTAAAAAATCAATAAAAAAATAAACTAAACTAGGAAAAAAACATCTGATAAAATAATATAATAAAAATAATCAAATAATAAAACATAAAATATATATATATATATATAAAACAAGAAAATTAACAAAAAAATTCAAATATCCAGCTTGTTAAATAAGAAAGTCAGATTTGTTAAAAAAAAAAAAAAAATCAGTTCGTTAACAGATAAATTCCAGCAAATAAAAAAAAAGTATATTTCGAAAAAGAAATTAAATTTGCTAAATTAAAAAAAAAATTCGATCAAAATTTTTAAAATAAAAGGGTTAAATTCAATAATCAACTCATTAGTTGAAAATTTTGTTAAATGAAAGAAAGTTAAACTTATTGAAGAAGGTTGCCAAATACTTAATTTGTTAGGAAACTCATAACAAAAGAAGCCAAATTTATTGAAGAAATTTGCCAAAAAAAAAAGAAAAAAGTCTAATTTGTTAGAAAAAAAAAAAAAAAAGTTTAAATTTTTAAAACAGAAAGTTTTAAATTAATAATCAGCTCATTAGCTGATAAAATGCCAAATTTTTTAAAGAAATTAAATTTGCAAAAAGAAATAAATAAATAAAATTCGTTAAAACAAAGCATTATTTGATTAAGTGACAAGTGAATGTAATTTATATTAGAATATGTCTTCATACAACAGCCTCAGTTTTATTCAAAAACTTTAATATTTGAAAATGTGGTAATTAAGATGAATAATTAAGAGCTTTGAATTTATAAAATTTAATAAGTGGATGAATAAGCTGAAGCCAATATAGAAACTGATATTGTGTAATTTTTAATAATCACTAATGTAAATTATTAATTGAGTTAAGTGTCTGATTTTTTTTTTAAAAAAAAGAAAGAATAATCAAATCTGATAGGTACACACAAAGAAACAAATATCTGATAGGTATATGAGAAGAAACAAATATCAGATTCAAGAGTTGGTAATAGGATTAATTCAAGGAAAGGATTTGAAAGGAATTATAATATTGTGTGTATTTTTAAAAATATTGCAGGGTCTGACTTTTCAAGATACTGGATTTTGACTTTTCAGTGTTTGATTTTGAACTATTGAGGTCCTGTTTTTTCAGGAAGCTCTGGTCTCGTCTCTGTCAGACAGTCAGGATTTTAAACGTTAGGATTTGAAATAGATTTGTATTGTACACATATAATATACCCATTATATGGTACAATTCTCGTGCATTCTAATTTAAATGCGTTAAAACATTGTTTTATTGGCCGACATATGAATAAAAACCAAGTAACCAATACTTGTTAGTGCAACATTTAGTAAACCAATTATTGGTTATTTCATTAAGCATGATACACCAACTTGATACATTTGAATTAAAATATAATTACACAAAATTTTACATATTAACTTGCAATTAAATAAATATATTTAATATTTGAAGATTTATAGAATATATTTATAAAAAAAAATTAAATTAATTTTTGATTA